AACATTATAACTCTAATAATTATTATTTTTTTACTGACCTGTTTTATTTTAGTTTATGCAAAGAAGAAAAACACCTGTTCTGATGTTAACTGTATATATTGGTGCAGCGGGGTCTTGTCGTTCGCACGCTGCTGAAATACAAAGAAAAGAGAGAAAAATAAGAATTTAAAAAAAAAAAAAGGAGAACTCCGCTTCTATCTGCCGAGCAAAGCTGATGAAGCTGCCGATGCTGGAATATACAGATAAACTAAAATTAAAAAAAATATTTATAAAATTACATTAAACAATATTAAACAAATAAAAATACAAACCTTTAAATTTACGTTTGGTTGATGGACGTTTGGTTGATGTTGGAGCGCTGAGAAGTTCACGCTGTTGATAGAGTACATTTAAATATATTTATATAAATACTTTTAACATAATTAAACAAATAAAATCACATAAAACAAAATTAAATAAATAAATATACGAACCTTTAAAGATGNCATATATGGACATGACGGATGTCCCGCCCTAGGGGCGTGGCACCTGTCACTTGATTGATAGTTATGTATAATTTCTCTCTGGTTGCACTTCTCACTCGGAACTTTGTCTTTTATTTGAGCTTCTCTCTGTGTCTGAAAACCAAATTCTGACACTGAAAACTACTGCACATTTTGTCATTTCCTACAGGAGCTTGCAGCCAATATTGAGCTGAAAGCACACACACACACACACATTGGCACTACACTGATGCAATATCTTAGAGCTGAGCATTATAAAATAATGAAATGTCATCCAGATGGGTAGGACATTCAAGGTGGAATGGTATTTATCTGTTTGACATTTTCTTTCAAAACACAATATATGGTTAAAAAAAAACCATCTATTCCCATTAGAGATTAAAACATGACCCTTAATAGCACACCAGAAAAGGGCCGGTCAGTAATCGATGTGTGTTAACTCCAGTCAGGCAGATCTGGACCACTGTCAAAAACTTTGCGCGACTGGTTGCCTCTGTTGGCAATAATTCTCCCGTGCTTCAGAAAATTATGTTCAGTGCCTCCCGCTATGATCCTCTAACCAAATAAAAAAGGGTCTCTCTGAAACTGTTTTACTGCATGAGAAATTCTAAAATCCTGCAAGAAAGATAACACAAGAAGGGCATACAGATAAAACAAAAACAAATTGATTTTATAACACCTTAGGAGGCCTATGAAGTGTTGGTTTGTGAAAATGAAGAGAGGGAAAAAAAGATTCTTTGTGCAGCGAGGAAAAAACAGCTGCGCTCATACTGAAGGGTGCAACACCAGGACTTGATCATTTTATCAATAAGGGAGACAAAGAAAGAAACAATACACATGTGCACACTTAGTAAACCTAACCAAAGCAGCTTTTATATGATGCCAGAACGTTAGGAACTTTGCACACTTTCTGTCTTCTTGCATCGTGTGTCCAGATAGAGTTACACATCAAACCCTTTCTACTCTAACATGTTATTAGCATGACCTTGTAAATGTCAAATTTAAAATTGCCTGCAATGCTCTTTGTTACTTTGAGTGATTAATAAAAATGAGCCTCTTGTTCTATGTCAAATACATGATACTTGTTGCTATGGATACTTTTCAAAGTGATCACCGCCATTTTTAAGCCAGTCATTAACGTTGTACAATTATCTGTACTGGATAGGTATAATTATTTAGTGTCACTTGTTTTAGATGTATGTGCAAAAATAAACAAAAGCAGCATTTGCTAATGACTAGCTTTAGCAAGAATTTGTTTTTGTTTTTTTTTCATAATATTGAGAAAGAACATTGAGAGTCGATGTGTCACACAGGTAAACATGGTCTAATCGTGATTGTCGTATTAAAAAAGGGATTCACAAGGACATTAGGAGACAGTCAGAAACTGTGTCTTATGTTCTCTGTACTTTTAAACTTCATTAAAGGTCAAATGATGATTGTATTTTAATGCCACAACCCATGATGAGTCTACGAGTAGTTTAAAAGAAAATGTGTCACGTTTTTTGAACATGTCCATAATTGAAGCCACAAAACTGCAAGTCTCAAGTAAGGCCTGAGTCACACTACAAGAATTTAAACCAGTTGACCTATTTTCAAAGACTGTCAGAGCCCACACGTGAGGATAAAAAATCATGGATATACCAGGTTTGGTCCTACAGTGTGGGGTGTAGACAACACACCACACACGAACAGATATTTCATTCATGAACATTCAGATGTCAGATTTTAAATCACGTGAGACTTCCTGAAATCTCACGAGAATTCAGATGTCMAAGGAAAAATCTCACGTGACCTCCAGAGAGACGTGAGTTCAGAGTAAATAAACTTTTGCAACAAGGAAGAAACAATGTTGATCGTTTGTGGCCTATTTTTTACCAGAGGAAAAACAATTCGCTAGGACTTTTAACATCCAGCGGACTTTCTGCTGAGTCATGACAGTTTTTTTGTGTCCTGTATTTAGATTCCCCTCCGTGTTTACGTCACCTCGCTTTCTGATTGGCTACAAGTCTCATTCGCAGGCTGAGAGCTCGGGTGAACGTCACACACACTGTGATATCGGGCCAAAAAATCTAACATGTTGAGTATCCCCGATTTGAGGTCGGAGCGGTCCCGACATCCTTCCGAGCTGACTAGATCACTCTTAGCTCACCACCCACAGCAGGAATATCTGCAATGATTATCTTTAGAGCCATCACGATAATCTGGACTTCCTTAAGATTGTTGGAAGGGCAAAAATCGGCCTGATTTTCTTGTAGTGTGACTCAGCCTCAAGGCAATTGAGAATACCAAGGAATGTCTCAAGACATTCTGGAGAACCTTAATGGAGACTTATTGTGCAAAATCCACTTTTTAGCCATTAAATCTATTTTATTGTGTACTTGGAGTTTCTAGATGTGGAGAAAATTTGAGTTTAGTCACTCCTGGTGCTGCGTAGATATCTTTATATTCTGGAAGAAAATATTTCTGCACCGCTATATAGTCTTAAACCCCTTTATCAAGGTACAATAGACTGCTCTGGAAGATTTTTTTGTGTATGTGTGTGTGTTTAGATTTAAAGAGACAGCATCAAAACGAGTTGATCTGAGACACACCTCAGAAAAGGGGTGAAACAGGGGTTTGTGGAGTTACAATAAGGAGGAATTCAGACAAAAGCATTGCAGTTCCACGTTATATAGACCCCAACTAATCGATTAAATGTGAAAAATAAGGATTTAAAAGCCATGGTATGTCTCCTTTTATTAAATACCGTTTTCTAACTAATCGCCAGTAGTCAAAGTTCAGTGAGATTGTTTCATCAAGAGGCAACTTTCTGGTTCACAAAAGGACTGATTTTTTTATTTTATTTTTTTCACTAAAGAGAGAGTGAGTGTTCTAGCGCTATCCTTGCAGTATGCATTTTTTTTCTTTTCTTGGTTGGTTGTTTTTTAATTTAATACACAAACTTATTTGTAATCTTTAATTACCTCAAAACCTGAAGCTTAATTTGGCTTGGATTTACTAGTTTATTTATTATCTCGTCTTCTAATAAATTTCTTTAGAAAACCCACCTTACATTGTTGTCTGGTTTGATTTTTCAGCTGAAGTCTTTCTGTTTGGAGTTTGTATCCACTCTCTCTCTCTCTCTCTGTTCCTGCGTGGGTTTTCTCCGTGTGCTGCAGTTTCCTCCCACACCACTGAGACGTGCATGTTAGGTTAATTGGTGTTTTTTTTTACGTTGACTGTAGGTGTCTGTGCAAGCATGCGTGTTCATCTGCCTTTGTGTTCGAGCTTTTCTGTGCCCAACTGGCATCAAGAACAGCGGGGATCGCAGCCTCCCCTGGTGTGTCTCTTCACTGTGCCACAGTCTAAGGAGAAAAAGAATCTGAACTTGAACACAGCTACGTTTGTGCAAGAGAAATATTTTAGTTTTTTTTTATTGTTGTTTCCATCATGACTCTAGTTTATTTGGAAGTGATTTTAATGTGTTTAAACCTATTAAATGTTTGGTCATCAATTCTTTCTGAATCAAAAAATAAGACTTTTAACTGGCCGATACTGATTTTGATTGATAGTATCTCCGACATTGAGGTCCAACCCAAGTGATTGTGCGGTACAAGCTGTCATGCTGTGAAGATTTCTGGTTTTATTCTGTTTTAGTCTGTTGTGTTTTTGATATTGATTCCACCTGGGTGTGTTTTACATTCTGCTTTAGCTTACTTCCTGTTTTACTTTGAAAATACTGTCTGCTTGTCTCTTGCTTCCCTTCTCCCACCTGATCCTGGAATGGAATTTATCCAAATTGTTTCTCGTGGTTTTATATCATATTATAATGTCATTCTATCATCAAAAACACAGAGAGCGCTGCTTTGACTCATACATGGATGTTTGAGAAATCTTTGAATCTCCTGTGGTAGCCATGTGTAGCAGCCTAAACACTTGCAGGTACAAAGCACCGCCTATTTACACAAAGCTCCACCTTGAAGCTCAGTCTGCAGCCGAGCTTTCGCCCCACAGAGCACCCCTTCCCCCCAAGTATTGTTGTGAAGACGTGCTGAAGTGGGAGTGTCAGAAATGGTAGGTTCTTACAGCGATAGAGGCCAGTTTCATGCAGCACTTTTAATTTCTTTTTGGATCAAAACAATATTTCTATGCTTCTAAATTTTGGGTCCTCTGTCTGCGTTTGGATACTTCTTCTACCTTAGTCTGTGTGACACAAACAGAAAAGTCAAAAGAAGCAATAATGTTTCCCAAAACTTAAGACACGATTGGGACACTTTAATGGTTATTGAATTTGAACTTGCTTACTGCAATAAATTATTTGCTCGTATATGTTTTATTGCGTCCTGGTAAAAACCGGACCCTTTTCCTTCACTTTGCTTCGTACTAGGGTCTGGACTCGCTGCTATAGAGAAGCGATTCTTGCTGGAGGCGTGGCTTCTGCTGAGGTGTATGTGTCGTTGTAAAGGAGGCTAAACTAAGAAGCTAACCGAAATCGCGTGCGCTGTAAACAACCCTACTGAGAGGAGAGAAGTACCGTGACGAACGAAACGACTGTAAATGAGAACTGCTGCTTTGTCAGACAAGTTTAATTTAATTTGGAAGCCTTATCAACACGGACTGACTTCATTCACTTCCTCCACTGCCGCATGCTAAAATAACTAGCAGACACTGCGCAGAAAATCAACGTCATTCAAAACCCCGCCTTCTGTTTGTTGATTGGCCCAGGTAAAATAAGCTACAAGCAGACACTGCACAGAAACTCGACGTTCTGTTCTCTGATTGGTTCGGCTAAAAATCTGCCAGCGAAATCATTCTCTATGGGAGAAATGCCAGACGGAGCAGAGAAGGGGAACTAGAATTGAGCGGAGCTGCGTAGGAAGGCAAGGGCCAGGCTAATGTATTGTGCTTTTACAGTTGTTTTTTTTTTATTATGTTGCAAAAATATGAACAAATCCCTTTTTAATCACAGTTTGTTTGGTGAGAAGTAGGGCTGTGAAAGATTCTGGGGCTCGTTTTTGTTTCTATCAAGTCGTTTCAAATCTGGTATTTCCTGATGCTGTAAAGCCTGTAGTGATTTTGTCTCTTGGCTGTACATTAGCACTGAAATATATCTTCTTACATTCATTGTTTCACTGAAATTCACCAAACTCACCCCTGTAGATGTCTTTGTTCTGTTCCTATCACTTCGTGTAAACTTGAGAAATCAGACGCGTAAAATCTCTATTTATGGTCAGAAACTGTCCGTGCTGTGGAAGGAGACACAGCATGTTCTGCTGCTTCTGGAGCTTCTGATCCCCGTCACAAAGCTGTGACAGTACTGACATTACAGACGATGAACAGAGACCTCACATCCAGATACTCCTGTTTCATCATGGCAATTTTTATTGCTGAGGAGGCAAAGTGATCTCAGACCGTTTTCATGTGTCATCTTCCCAATAATGAAGAATGAATAAATGCAGCTTGTTAAAATCATTGCAAATTGATTAGCTCAGTACAAAATCCCAGTTAGCATCAAACAAAAATCCTTTTACACAACAGCAGACCTTTGTGACATTATACTAACATAAACAGTAGGAGATGATTAATCAGGTAAAGTGTTGTTTTGACAATGAGCATCTTTCTGTATCCAATCAGCCTCTAATAGAAACCATTAACAGGGATGTTGTCACCACTTTTGTTTTCCTTCCTAACTTGCAAATGAAGCCAACACAATGCAGAACACTTGTACATAAGGTCATTTGGCTGAGGTGGCCATTTTGACAATTCTGAAGTTTTAAAATGCAATAAATTTGGAAGATGTTTACTGAAAACAATTTTAATCTTGTCAGTTTCTTGGTTGAACCTGTTGCGGAGCAGGGATGACATTTCATCTCGAAGCAACTCAAGCCATCTGAAAGCGTCCACAAGATGACCTTTCAGATGCTCGGCTTCCTTTTTTTACACGTCAGAATACAGAAAAAAAATCCCTCAACCTTCAGTCATTATTGCCATCAGTGAATAGAAAGCTAATGTGAACTGATAGGTCACTAACATCTGCGCAGCTCTCGTGCCCTGAGGGACCGGGGAGACGAAGCAAAGGATGTGAAGAGCTTTCAAATCAAAGGCAGGGATCGAGGGGTTCTCTTTGTGGGTGCCCTTGATTACATAACAGTCATGTTAAGTAGGCTGGACCGCTTTCTTGAGGGGTTTACACATTTCGATGTCAGCTGAGAGTACCTTCAGCTCTGAGCTCTTCCCTCTGAAATCCTCAAGGAACTACCTTTTGTTTCTACATGGACAGAGAGAACAAACTGAATATATATATTTTTCCAACACTTATGTGTGTTTGATTCACTCAGCAAAAGACTTTTACAAAGCGGCAAGTTTTAGATCATTTATCAGAAAATAGTTTGTCGCTCTTCCGTTATCGGTTTTCACAGCAAGCACCGAGTCGCTGCGTATGAAAGCTGCAAAAAAGGACGGAAAGAACTAATGAGATTGTTTTTGACCATGAAAATCTAATGTTCATTCATCTCACTGACGTGGGTTTAATGAAAAAATTATCTCATGAAATATTAATAAAACCTGGGCTTTTGTCCAAGCACAGTGCCACTTTTTTTTTATAAATTTTCACCAAAAATTAGAAAGGAAAGAATGCACATGACTGGAAGTGAGGTGTCATAAAACTTTGCAGAGAGGATGACGTCATTTAAAAAGGCTGACTAAGGCCATAAATGAGAATGAGTAAGTATTGATTTGATGACAATTATTGTTTTTTTTTCTTATGTCTGCACAAATTAGATCTTTTTTTTCTTTTCTGCTGACTCCACAGAGAAGCAAAAGTCTAAATGAAGTGGAAATCTTGCTTCAGTATGCGAGGAAAACATATACAATTTAATTTTTTTTCACATTAATTAAAAGATAGGGATGCATACTGAATGCAACAAAAGGAAATATTGGACTAAGATGAGGAAACTAACACAATAGAATAAATTAACATTTTTATTTAATTTTGGCCCTCTTTTCTCACAGTACCACGAACA